CCGCCCGCCGGCTCCGCAGGTCTCCGCACGGCCCCGCCATGTCCTGCTACATCTACCAGCTGCCGTCCTGGGTGCTGGACGACCTGTGCCGGAACATGGACACGCTCAGCGAGTGGGACTGGATGCAGTTCGGTGAGTGGTGCGGTTCGGGACCCGGCTGGGGCGTCCGCGGCCGGGACCTCCCGGCAGCCCCGGGCTTGCCCCTGCTCCGGGGTCGCCGCTCGGGGCCTCAGGTTAGTCTCCCAGGAGGGTTACGTGGCCTCCAGCCTGCTCTTCCCAGCCCTCTGTCGGCACTTTTCTGTTCACGGTCAGTACTTAAATTCTCCGGTTCTGAAACCGGTTCTGTCGTATTATTTCATTGAATCCCCGGCACCCTGTAAAATGCCCGTTTTACAGAGAGGAAGAGCAGCCTGTCCAGCGCTAGGGCTGCCAAGGGGCCGCGCGGGATTCGAACCCGAGAGCCTGGCTCCATCAGGAATCCCTGCGTTCAAACTCCTTGATTTCCACCCCCCTTCCCCCCCGCATGGCGATTGGCGGAGAAGGCCATGGGACCTGGGGGAGCTGCAGTTCAGGCTCTGCCACTTCCTAGCCCTGTGGTTTTCGCCAGTTCTGTAACTTCCTGAGCCTCAGTTTCTTCATCCGTAAACTGGAATGAGGATCGATGGCTTCTTCATAAAGTTGTTTTGAGAAGTGAAAATATTGTAAAAAAAAAAAAAAAAAATTCTGTTACTATATAAATCATGAGAAAATATTAGCAATTCTTGTTAGTTTTATGGTTTAACTTAGTAGGGCTGGTGCCACTTAATTTTAGAAAATAATAATGCATGTGTTAAAAATTATAATGTTAGATTATAGACTAGACCATGCATGCAAGCATATATAATCTGTGTTTGTGTATTTGAAATAATAATAAAGTGGACATGTGTGTGTTGTTCATACAGTTTTAGCAAATATTGTCCGATTCAACCCCGGCGGTTCTGTGCCCCTTAGGAGATAATTGCTGATGACTGGGGACATTTTTGGTGGCCACAGCCTGGACGCAGCAGTGACACCGGGGGAATTGCTTCATCTTGTATAGTGCACAGAACAGTGCCTTGCCATGAGCATTACCCAGCCCAGTGTCAGCAGCCGTGAGGTTCAGAAACCCTGTTTTAACCCAGTCTTACGGGGTTGGCAGGTGGTGTGGTGGTTAGGGGTGCTGGACTCCCGCATGGCCCACAGTGGTTCAAGTCCTAGACCTGGCTGCCTGATTTCTTACTTTCCCTTTGTCTGTCTCTTTCTCTCTTCTCTCCCTGTGTCTCTCTGGTCGAATTTTTAAAAAATGAATGATAATAAATAAAAATTAAATAAAAAATTTAAAAAATAATAATGAATAAAGTTGAATACATTAATTTTTTGCTGTTGTTAAAGAAGTAAGATGGGTTTATTGCATAACCCAGGGAAACAAACAAGATTAATTCATATTGCATCACTCAGGAATGACCACTCTTAATATTTGGGTGCTAGTGACAATAAGGTAGCAGCTAACATTAATTGGTCTCTTACTCTGTCTTATAGAATGCTAGGTATGTTGTGCCTTCTGGTCTTTTTCCTAACCTTATTATTACTATTATTATTTTTTTTTTTGGAGAGGTTTTTGCTATAGAGTGCATGCACTCACCAGAAAGATAGAAAGCAAGAAATCACCCCTGAGAGGGGATGGCCACGCCACAGTCCCTTCTCCTCCTTTCTCTTCTCGGGGATCTTGGGCACACATGCAGGCACGCCTGGTGTGAGTTTAAGCCACCAGGCCTGGGACTCGAACCGTGGTCGACTACATGGGAGTCCAGCAACATAGCCATTACGCTAACTGCTGGTCCCAACTTATTAATATTTTAAAAAGATAATTATTTTATTTTACTCATTGTCTTTTTTTTTTTTTTTTTGAATTTAACCAGAGAAAAGAAA